TGGTAAGTGTAACTCTCATGCAAATGAAAAAAGACTTCTTGTATCTCAGAATGGAAGCATTATAGAGATCTGATATGTGTAAATTAATACAATGAAGTCAGTAACATTTAACACTTTTTCATCCAAGTGATAGTAACAGAATGCTCCTGAAGTGATAAAGAAGAACCACAGCTTGATAAGAGAAGGCTAATTTAACCTTGCAGGCATGATCTTGCCACCTGAAGAAATGCTGACTTAATTCATATAACACTTGTGTGGAATAAAAGACTTTTTGTTTCCTATTTACAAAATTTTAGCAATGGACACTTAATAACAAGACTAATCAAGAAGAGATCGTACTATCAGAATTAATGAGGTATTAAAACACGTCAATGGATGATTTTTAAGTCTCCTCCTTTTATCATTTAAAAAAGAATTAATTTAACAATTGCCATTTCCAGAAACAGATGTATAAAAACATGTTCTTAAAGAACAGAACCCTTTTTAACAGGTAAGTTTTGTATTGAGGAATGGGCTAAGGAAAAGCTAACATGTCTACCTTGCTTCCTATACCATTACTTCTGGAAGAACTGTTTTCTGTAAAAAGTTGCAGAGATTCCTGAATCATTTTACTTTGAATATAGTGAAAATAAGAATCTTCAATTTCATCTTAAAAGATGAACTGAACTTTGTGAAAGTCTTTGTTTCCCTCTATGACCTCTCCTGGCTCTGATAATTTTCAGCAGTTACAACCCAGAACTAACCATGAGGCAGGAGATTCTGCTAAAAACTTCTAGCCAAATGGAAGCAGAATTCTCGCTAAATAAACTTCCTGGTAGGTTTCTAAGCTGGTGTTGCACATTTAGGGTATACGGGTAAGCAGTGGGTAAACAGAGCTTCAGCATGCTTTCTAAAATTCAATCATTGCTAAGTACAGGTGAAGCAAAAGTATGAGACAGCTATGTTTTTTATGTTCATACCCTTATGACTTTTAAAACTGAATCATAAACAATTTTTCTTTAATATATTGTGCCTAATACTACTATTAAATTGGATAAACCAGCAAGTGCTTTTTCCCTTGGGTATGTATTAACAATTTACTTTTTGCAGACAAGTGCACAAATATGATTAGCTTTTGCAAATTGCTCCTTATTCTGTTACTGGTAAGTAATTTTTATATTATTATAGTGTAAACAGATGCTATTTTCCACTACATATTGAGCGGTAATGAGCTAATTCAATGTGTTAAAAACAACAAAAGATCTTCAAGAATGAGCTATTTGCTTCAATAGTCCAAGCTCCATTGAAATCTATGTTGAAATCAACCATGACAGGAAGTTAGTAAATTACTCTAGAAGTCCTCTTGCAAAATAAGAACTTTCTTTATCCATTTATTAAAATGCAGAACGTGTTATATTACCCTCTTCACATGCATGTTATTGACCCGCTTCTTGCATATTGATTTGGAAGTTATCTTTTGAGCATAGCTAATATAGTTCACTGCTTTTCTCATAAAGAAAGGACATTTTGGCAAACCTTTGCAGGAGCTTTACAACTGTTTCAATATTCACTCCTATGAATTCATTACACACTAAAATCTACAAACAATGAACCATGCTGTTTTCATTGCCCTTTGGAAATTGCAAGGATCAGCTTGTTGAGAGAAAAACAAAAAGACAACAAGCATGTTAATTTTAGATTGTGTGGGCAAAATCCTGGCTCCACTGAAGTCAACAGGTATTTTGACACTTATTTTACCCTAGCCTGGCTATTGAAAGCAATATTGTGAGGCTCCACCTGGATCATTTTATCCCAGGGAAAAGAATTTAAAGAAGGACAGACAATCTTAGACTGAGCCTACAAAACAAAATTTACAGCATCACAGAAACGCAGCAATTGAGCAAAAAAGCCGTGTTCTCACCACAAACGTGCTATACGTATCTTGGATTATGCTACTTGGCTACCCTTACTACAGCATTTGTTTGGGTAGCTCTGCATCTTAGTGGTTCGTTCTGTATGCTCATACTCAGCTACTATTAGTATGTCATACATACCCACAGTCTACAAAATAGGGACAAAATGAAACTTGAGACCATCCACAGCAATTTCACTTAGACGGAGTGGCTTGATTTTATTTCCTTGCTCTTCCTCCACCAGTTCCTACTTACACAGCTGGAGACAACCACACCATCTGAATGATCTGCAGGAGAACATTTTCATGTCCTTTTACATTACAGAAAACCTGTTTATGAAAGGCATGTGCATATATATAATATATATATATGTACACACACAGATATACATATACCATAAGCAAGCTGTTGTCTTATCAGAAATATCTTAAGAAATGGACAGGTTTTCAATGCTGAGTACATTTAATAGACTCATCAAGTAAACATCCAGCTATAAAACTAACAAAGAGTCTCACACTTTTGTCAGAGAGATAATCTGTTGTCTTGTTTTACTGCATTACAAATAACCCATGCAGCAGTTTATGGAGAGATATTAAGCCACATCAGAAACACTACATAATGATATCAAGGGAATAAAACATCAGAAGACAATAGATAACTCTTAGAAGTCTCAATCTGGATCGGATCTTTGCAACCATCATTCTGTTTTAGAGTATAATTCCTACTTTTGATCCTGGAGTCAAATTATATCTGAGTCCTTCCCATAATCAAAATATAAACAAAATGTAATAAAAATAAATTGAAGATTTCAATTTATCTCCAAAATAAAGTGCTTTACACTGTACGTAATTTCAAGAATGACAATTATTCCAACATGAATGAACCTTAGACAGACCAAAAAAAGCAAAGACCCTACCTTAAAAGAATATTAAGGCTGCAAATTCAAAGAACGGATACTGAATAGTAACAGCATACGATAAATGTTGTGAACCTAAAAAAGCAAGTATTAGCAGGAGCAGGTTGCTATGATCTACAGGATCATGACATATACTGCCAATGGGTCACATAACTCTGCATGAGGCAGCAGAAGAACTAAAATTCCCAGGGTCTTTCCTTGGTTTTCAAAGTTCAGTGTGGCTTACTGCCTGGTCTAGCGCTTCCAGAGCACATTGTGTCCTTGCACCTATGTGACACTTCCATCAGAACCCATGAGCCCCCGCCTTGAAATGCCCTTGGGTGCTACCTACTACTCTGCCAGCCAAATCATAAACCAGAGAAATCATTATCACTTAATGATATGAGGATTTACCAAATAATAAAAAATCTGAACTGCACAGCACTGTGACTGGATCCCAAAAAAAGGGTGAGAATAGGACGTCTGGTCTCAGCCAGGGCACTGTCCTATTGCAGATCGTGAACTACTGCTGATCGCCACATTATCTAAAAGAGATCGTAAAGGCAGACAGGACAGATACATGAATGTCACGTGAAGTATATGGTATTTCACAGCTTGCAGAATTATTTCAAAGCCATTCACAGAGCAGTAGAACAAACAGGCCAAGCTCAGGACACCCAAAGTCCTACCAAGTCCAGACAAGATTTAACTTCTCCTAATTCTTTCCAACACTTTCTGTTCTTAGAGGATTGAGGCTTTAATCTTTAATTCAGTGCCTCTTCAGTTCCACCTTACAGATACAATTTCAGCCTCAGTGTTTTTGCCCTTTAGTTTCCTAAAAAATAAACTGCATTGCATTCCAAATATAAACCATATATTTACTTCCAGCTCAGAGTTTTAAGATATATTAACACCTTCAGGCTTACACACGGTAAATCTAATAGGTTCCTTCAGGCAGATAACTGGCCAGGAATATAACTGAGAGCTTTCAGGCTACGCCGAAGGACTTATTGGTTTGCATATGGTAGCAGGACAAGCAGTTGTCTGCTAAGGACACATTAAAACTACAGCCAAAGAGTTGATTCAGTTGAATGCAAATATCCCTTTCAGTCAGTTGGAATTTGGGTCTAAAACCCCTGATGTTTTTTAAAACAGAACCCCTACCTTCTTAACCTTATTAGACAGACCACAGTATGGGCCCCAGTAGTCTTTTGACTTCACCACTTATTATCACAGGAATCAGCAACAGAATTTATTGTCTATGGGAATCTGTTCCAGCTGTGAACACACTCTTAATAAATTCTTAAGTGCTAGAGCCCACAGGCTAAACTAGATGGGAATTTGGACACTAGAGTAATTATCTTGGAAGCCATTACCTTCAAAAAGTTAGCCATACATCTGCTTCACTGACCTTCCACCCTGAAGCACTGTTCAGCATGGGAGGTTTCTGGTGTCATACGACATAGTCACACGGCTGTACCATCCTCGCTCCTTCTTCCCCATTTACACTAGTCACATCTCTAAAAAGGGGCGGACTCCACTACTATTCATTTAACAAATAGAAAACAAAGATGGCCTTGTTGCACAACTAGCCGAACAGACTCCAAGTTGGCCGCTTTAATTGAGTAAGCAAGCCTGAAAAGGCATATGCATACAGTTCAAGAATCTGAGAAAATGACTCAAGATTTGGCATTAATAATAGGATCACCATCTGTAGATTTATCTTGTCTGGTGCTGATAAAAAAGAATTATGAGTAGGTACTGTTCTCCCCAGCCAAAGGGCATCAAGGGCCAACCCCGTACTCATCAGTTTAAAAATGCACCTTTGCACACACTAGAACAGCTCGTGGTGAAACACGGAAGACCTCCCTTCTCCTATGGGCAATTCATGCTTCTATACACAGCATGCTGAAACGCAGTGAGCCTCCGTTAGCCCCCCAGCTCCACAAAATCCTAGCTTGTTAGACACAATTCAAACCCACTAGTTTGTCTGGAATAGAAGGATTCAGTTGTAAGGCCTAGCCCCTAACCATTGAGTGATCGGTGAGACCTCTTTCTTTTTGTAAGAAAAAGGAATCATACTTCCAGATTACACAGATTCTTGTGACTGTACCAACAAACAATTTCAAGATTTGAATTAAAACTCATAGACCAGTTACTGAAAGTGGTCATACCTCCTCATCGCAAATGAATTACTTTTATTAGTCTGTTACCTGTTCCACGTCAGATGAATATTTTCTGACTTCATTAGTGTCTATTTGATATAAGTAGACTTTCTGAAAAGAATGAAAACGTTATCTATGTTAATTTTAAAACCCAAATTTAAAGCAATCACCATTTAAACTGTGCTTCTGTCGTTATTCCTTATTGCAAATACTAGAAAATAGCTTTTGATAGACTCCTACTGCAGCCATCTTTACTTTCATAAAGGCTTAAGTAGGGTGAGACAAAACTAATATTCATCAGGGTGACTTCAGACAAGACTTTGAATCCTAAATAACCCCGGACAGAGGAAGTCCAGATGACAAAGCTCCCTACAGTTGCAAAACAAGCCTTGCGCTGGCCAGACTAACGTATTTCAGGATTCTATCTTCAAGCCTTTCCGTTCCTCTGTACTTGGACACACTCTCTTTCGGACTTCAGCTTCTCCTTTGCTTTCAACAAATATCTTTATGATCATTCAGCATGAATAGCTGCTGGGTGACTCCAACCTTTCTCCTTCTGTTGACTCTGCCACCTAAAATTCAACATTTCTCAAACCAACTCTTTTCTGTCTGTATTGACAATCCCTACTACAGCCCAAACTTTAATCATGAACTACGCTAGTTCTTTCTACATACTGATCTCCTACTCTGCATCATCACACCTGTTATTCAATATTCCTTATTTGTCTCTTCTTTTAAAGAGGCTCTTTTCCCTCTCTCATGCTTTAGAGCAACCCACCTACCCCAATGATCTATTGCCTAGACTACAAACCCCGACAGTGCACTTATTCCCATGTACCCATAGACATTTTTCCAGGTTTGACTTCACATGTTCTATCATGTAGCCTGATAACTTGAATCATTTTGCTGCTAGTTGTCAAATCCTCTCTCTTTCAAGAAACCTCTCAAAAATGGGTTTCAGAAAGTATTTCTCAATCCCCCACTGCTCTCCCTACCTAATATTCTTGTTTCATTTCTGATTTATTACAATATAAGTTCTCTGGGGAAAAGATCTCATCTTACACATCTGTAAACCAGTGTACACCGCACGGATATTCAGCTCTAGGCTCCTTGCATAAATGAGCCATAGTATTTTGCAGATTCTAAGTAAATTACTGATTAAAACAGTAAGAATTATTGTAGAACAGTTCAGGGCATATGAATAACATGTTTCCTGGGCAATGATTTCCACTGTATCTTGTGACTAATGGTTGTTTATCTATATCTATATCAATGAATAGTCAGCAACAACTAAGACAAAAATGCTGAGCTCATTTTCTCTTGAGACCTTGCTTTTGAATCTGTCTGAAGTATTGTGGAACTAAACAGTCATCACAGCCACAGCTGAATATTCATCCTCAGAATGGTTAAGAGTGATGGAAAAATCACTAAATAAGAGCCACTGGAGAAAATATGTACTTTTTCTTAGTGCTAACTTTCTGAATAGATCCATTTACCCTTGACTAACTTCACTCATTTGCTATTAGATAGTAGGAGATAATAAACCAATTCAGGATTTGCTGTCATTTAGGCAAGATTCTCCTCATCGGGGAATTTTGTTTTTGACAATTAGGTTGCCAGTGGTGGCAATTCAAAAGCTGTGCAGCCCAGCTTCCCATCAACAGAAACTATACCTTTTCTCCACCTCTAAAATACACACTCTCACACACAGCAGTGAAAAAGCTGCCTTCGCTTTCTCATATAATGCGAGTCTGAGAAGTCACCTTTCTTATTTTCTTAGCTTGGACAATATTGTAACACACTTTGCTCAAGTGTGAAATGCACATCTTCCACTCCACATGAATTCTTCTTCCTTTATAATTCATTCTATCAGTGCAGAGCTTGCATAAAGAAAATTTAGATCCTTCTTGGAAGGATGAAAAAGCTCTTGGCTTGTGTTGGAGGGTAAATCTGAACTGCTGAATTCCCGCTTGGGCAAACGCAATCACCCCTACAGAGAGATGAACAGGTGGTGACAGTTACTGTAACCCAATCTATTTTAGCTAAGATACCTTGCCTTTTCAAAGAAGTCTCCATTCCTTGCCATCCCTGCTGCTGACTTGCTACTTATTGTTTCTTCTCAAAATGTTTACTACTAAAGTTGTTTTTATAGTAACTGTTTATCACTACATAAGATTCTGATATGCAAATCATGTTAGAGACTAAATCAACAAGTAATGACAAGCACCTTGTGGTTGTCTATTTGATTGGAATTGTATTAGTGAAGAACCATCAAATACCTCTATTCAATAACAAAAGAAAGTTTTCTGTTATGTCATTATAATAATAAGTGGTGAGATTTTGAAAAGGTAATGCAGATTGACATACCCTATAAAATAAAAATGCTGCAAATACTCATATTAATTATTAAACCATAAAAGTAAACAGGATGTCACTTTGAAACAGGATGTCACATCGCTCTATATAAACGATGAAATTCTGTGTTTGGCAAACCAGGTATTCAAGTAGACAGAGTATAAAAAGTAAGCCTGCTTGAGTGATTATTTCATTTGCAATTTAGTGCTTTTGTTATCAATTTAAGAAAAAATAAAACAAAGCATCTGAGTGAACATCTCACAGTTTTTAAATTACTGTATATATCATTGGTCTATTAAATTATGACATTGGATATGTTTTGTATCACTGTATAGACCAAGGTGAGAGACAATAATGCTGAAGCGTCTGAATCTAATGAAAACATAACACCTTCTATTTGTTGGCATGGCTCAGTGCAAAAAAGCAATATATCACTGTCCTGAAAACGGCCAGCAGGAACAGGAAAATGAGCTACTGCTAATTAAACCTTTTATGTAAAAACACGACTGCTAACCAAATCTGTATTGTCCCATACTCTCATGTTTTACTTTCTTTTTCATTTACACTTTGTCCTATAGCCCTTGAAGTATCAGGTTTACAGGCTTCTTTTATATTACTCTTTTTGATATTGTGAAAGTAGGAACTTGTGATAACGATAATTACAAAGAATGCTTACAATAAGAAAAGCAACTGTGAGTGCAAAAAGAATAGTCCAGCTAAACTACATCTGGTTATTCTGATAATTAAAAGTCATATTTAAGTTATTAGCAAAATATAAAGTATTTACTCAAGTTGAAGTTTCATCATACTCATGACAATAGATTAACACCCTTATTACAAGCAAGGAAATATCTTTGGCTTTGGACACATAGAATACATGTATTTACAGAAGTGTGGTATTCAGTAACGATTACAACAACAGAAACCATATTTCCCTTAAAGAAATGAAGGATGTCTTTAATTTGTAATGACTTCATTACTATGAATTTTGCTACTCAACCACTTCAAATAAATTGAATGCTACAGCTAAATACTACCCTTGACAAATATTGTATTAAAATCCAAAAAAGGAAAATAGCTTCTAAAAAAACTCTAGGCTAGCATTATACTAAGTTACTTCTCATGAAGTACCACATAGCAATTTAATTTTTAATTTATGTAATGATAATTATTGTAATATTTGTACAGTGAAGTGAAAAAGTTACAACATAAGATGTTATTTGAAACAGAAAAGCATTATTTTTCTTCTAATCATCTATGCAAAGATCAACTGAACTCATTATTGTTGTCAAAGATACTATAAAATCAAAGCAAGCATTGACAATTTTAACAAGACTCCAAATGTAAATTAAAATACTTTAGACAAAAGGCCTGCAGGCAAGTGATTCTCCCATCCAGGGATGATTTTCACTTGTCTCCAGGTGTAACATTATGTGCACTGATGGGCTGATCAACAGAACAGAACTTCTCCCCAGCTGTAATCAAGAGTGATTGATGGTTGGGACAAAAAAGTTGATTATCATGACAAGTCCACTGATGCGGAGAAAATAGTCTGTGCTGGGGAAAGGATAAAACCTGTTCAGAGTCTGCCTTCTAAAATCTCCTTTATAAAGAATAAAAGAAATATTTATGCCCATCCGAAAAGACCTATTATAAATGAACTCAGTAAATTTATATGCATCTGTATCTGCAATTATTCTACTATATCACAATGAAACCTATATACAAGCTAAACAGAATAAATCCTTATATTTTTAAACTATATTTTTGAGAACTGCTTATTAGAGAATTATACATATGAAAGTACCTGTATGCTATACCAGTAGGGCATTGCCTCAGTTTGAATACATGTTTTGAATTCATAATCAAGCTTTTAAAGGCCATGGGGAAGTGAGGTGTAAGTGCCATATCAGATTCTTTCCTGAAAAGAAGTCAGTCCCCTTTGGCCATTTTAAACCTTTAAAGACTTCATTTTCAATCCAGATCAAAAACATGCACATGAGTGGAAGCAATACACCCTCAAAGGTCCACTTCAAATATGTGCCTTTCTACTCCAATGTAAAGCTTTTAGAAGCAGACATTGGGTTCCATTTCTTTACAGGATCAGACTCTCAACTGTTAGGAGTTGCACATGAAACAGCAGTACCTCCAGAGACTGTAAAAGACATGCAAGGAGTGATAAAAGAACCAAGAAGCTGAAAAAGAGTCAGGTCTAGAGGTTCTATATATTCATACTGGGCACGGTTAAGTTTATTAGTAACTCTCACAAAAGGAAATATTATGATTACTACAAGAGGTGGCTGCACACATACAGTAAGCAGAATATGTCATGGGTACCCCAGGGCATGCAATTTCACCGAACATAAAGGGAAAAAAAACCACTCTTCAGATTTACTGTGAGATTATTTGAAAAGATTTTATAGACGTTAGAACGAGGTACCATCAACCAAATCCAAGCACAGGAACAACTTTGCTTTATTTTTAAGGCATTTTTAAGGAATTAGGACATTGTTTGAGAAAAAATTATGATTTACATCACTTAACTCATTTTGATGGAGATCTTTTTACATCGCGCACAATCTCACATTCTCTTCACTATGTGCTTCTTCTGTGAACTTTACCATATAACCTTGCCTGTTCCTGTTCTCTCAGGTCCCCTTTATGTATTTATTAGTGCCTAAGAAAGTGAGTAGAGTCTAACCAGAAAGATTCACTGACAAGTGACTGAAAGGAGACAGTATTTTCTTATTTTTATT